GTGTGTGTGTGTGTGTGTGTGTGTGTGTGTGTGTGTGTGACTCCCAGGTTATTTACATGCATGCGCATTAGTGTGTGTGTCCATTTGGGGTGAGGGTAAAGAGGGCAGCAGAGTCCATTGGAAGAAGTGAAGGTAGAAGAGAACCATCTTTCCAAAGAAACAGTTCTTTACTGAGAGCCACGGAAGCAGGTGAACATTGGAACTCAGAAGGCTTCGGACTTAAGGCCATTCTATTCTCCATTTACCTCTTCAGAGGCTCTGAGCCATGTTGTGCTGGGAAGAGAGGTGGTACCTGGGTCTTTAGACCTATGGGAACTCAACAATGTGAAGAAGGCGTGTGGGGGTGGGGCCGAGAATCCCAGGTGTGGATGCTCAACATCCCCCTGTCCCTTTCTAAGGAAAGTGGGGGAGAAGAAAGGGGAGGACATTTTCCAGGTCTCTTTCCCCTTTCTGGTTCTATTTTCACTCAGATAACAAGGAAAGCCCTAGAAAAGCTGATGATTAATCAATGAGCTAGATGGCCTGGGAGGTGGTAAGGAATGGATAAGATGTCAGCATTCTGAGAAGCAAGAACAGGCAAGCCACCTGCTGACTTCCCTCGGGCAGGAAGAGGAAGGATGACACACAGGTGGAGGAAGGGAAGGAGTGTCAGCTTCAACCTGAGTCACGGAGGAGATGCATACTAAAGTTACCCGCTCACCCCTATGGGGTCCTGGTGAGCACCCCTGAGAGAAGAAACCTCATATGCTTTTAGGCAGCTCATGTATCTCTGACAGATAGCTTGGACCTGGAATTCAGCCCAGGCTAAAGCAACAGCCTGAACCCTCTGACAAAAAAGCCTCTGCAGCAGCAAGAGAGGGCAATTATCTGCAAATCCTGATGACATTCCCAACACCCTGATCTATATTTAATAACAACAAAAAGCGCTTGCATTAACAGCTATTAGGCCCTTCACTACTGCAAGAAGGCCAGCCTCTCTCCTTTGTAGCAATGAAGTACAATAAAAATATAAAAATAAAGCTTCATGGGTTTCAGAGTGATCTCCCATTAAGAGATTTTCAGAGTGTCATAAACTGGCAGGTGACAGCAGGGGAAGTTTGTACGAATTTTCAAATGCCAGAGTGAAATCAAATGGATAAAACTCCCAGCACAGTAAGGCTGGTCTCCCGAGGCATCTGGAAACTGCAATGGCAGGTACAGTGCATTCCTTCTGTGTATTCCACATCTGTGATTTGTGCTGTCTAAATGCTGACACTTACTTCTTAATACTATCCCTACTTTCCTGGTGACTGCCACGTGTCTAGCTCACGTCTGTTACCCTTTGAATGTGAGTGTGCCTCACAGGATCATGTGCTTGAACACTTTGTTCCTAGCTGACAGCAGAGGTTGGGGAGGCTGTGGAACCTTTAGGAGCTACCTGGCTCTAGCCGGAGGAAGTGAGTTGTTCAGGGCAGACCAACTCTGCTTCCGGTAGACTTCCTGAGGTAAGGTAGCCAGTTGCTTCATGCTTCTGCCTCAGCTGCCATAACCTTCCACATCACAACAGACCATTCCCCCCTTGGACCACAAGCCCAAATAAATCACTCTTCCCTCATGATTTGTCAGGTGTCTTTTTCTTTGCTTAGAATGACATAGAGACCTTCCCATCTCCCTCATGGAGAAACAACCCAATCTCTCAGGTAGACCCCCTATCTTCAGTGATAGTTCCAGCCAACCCATGTTCCATAGGCTGTCAGTGCTCTGACTGATGTCTCTTGGCACAGATAACTCTCCCTAGCTTACAGAATAAAGGATTAATTTCTTAAGATGTAAAGATTCCACCTAGACCTTTAGCCTTTACCTTTGTTTGACACCCTGGTATATCATTAGTATGCTGGTGACTGTAGAGCTGTTAGCTCTCTGCACTTACCACTTGGATGCCCAGGTCATCCCTCTGCCTGAAATTCCTTTTTTCCCTTCAACTTTTTCCTTTCTTCCAAATTTATTTATTTAATGTGTACACCGTGTTATGGATGTAGAGATCAAATGACAACTTGTGGGAGTTGGTTCTTGCTATGTGGGTCCCAGAGATTGAACTCAGGCCATCAGCTTGGCAGCCAGTGATTTTACCCACTGAGTCATCTCACTGGGCCCTCCTGACCTCTTTCTAATCTTCTGTCTGAATGGGCACTAGCCACTGCTGCTTCCCCTGTGACCCTATAGTACTCTGCTCTTAGGACTATGGCCATAAGATGCTCTTTGGCTTTTGATGAGGTTATATTTTGATTAAACTCATTGCAAATTGAAGATCTGATAAGCTGAAAATGCATTCCATATACTTCCCCTACAGCACATCTTAGCTGAGTGGCAGGGCACGCTGTAGGGTGTCTGCTATTTTCCCTGTGGTTATGAGGTGACTGGGAGCTGCAGCTTGTTGCTACCCAGTATCATCTGAGAGTCTCTCTATCCCAGAAAGAGATCTGTATTCAAAATCCAAAGCATGGTCTCTATTGAATTTGTATTTCTTTGCATCACTAGAAACTTAAAAGATTATAAGTGAAGTTATCATGGGGAAGGGGCCATCTGTATTTACAGGTGGAATCATAGTTTCCAGGTCACTTTCTGCCTTAGAGTATTGAGGTCTTTGATGTCTTTCAGTTCCTGGCTCCATTTTCTTAATGAATGCATGTCCAGGTACAAACGGAATCTTATGTTGACTATATTGTTTATACAACAGTTACTTACATGTGTTCTTTGTATTGTCACATTTAACTACCAGTGTGGAATGGACTAACTGACATATTCCCCTCTGCGGATTATACATCCAAGGACCTGGGCCTCTGAGCTCCCCATAGCCCTCCCTGTTGTTAGTTAACACTAAATACTTATTCTTTCCTAAGTGGCTGCTAGCCTAAATTCAGGTGCCCACTTGGTTTCAAAATTTCAGCACCCTCTTCATTAGCTAGATTATTCAGGGAAAGGATCTTAGGCACTCTGCCTGCCTTTGCCTTGATTTTCTTTTCTGTTGAGTGGGAAGACTTGCAATACTCCTTTTAAAAGGGCTGCTAGGAGCATCAAGCAGCAGGCAGAGTAATTGCTATGAAAACATCTCAAGGGAATCCTGCACATCAGCCCTTCAAATACCCGACCCAAGAGACTCTCAGTCTTCTCTCTTATCTGATGTCTCTTACATTGATTTAATTAGCTATTTCCTCTCCTTTTATATCCTGTCTTGTTGTTCGGGAATCTTAGACCCTTTACTTAACATCTTCATCAACCCATTAAATGGCCCAAATTTCTCTACTTGAGTAGCTCTTTGTACCCATCCTTCTCTTTTCAGATGCTGCTACTGCTGCTGTTGCTGCTGCTGCCCTTAACTAAGTTTTAGTTAAGTGATCAGGTTCATCACTTAATGCCTTCCCAACTATTGATGCCTACCAGATCCTAGGTACCCTGAACTAAACTCACGTCGGCAAATCTCTTGCTTTTAGTAGAAAAACAACCTCAAGACTTCAAGGCAGGAAAGTGTTAAGTAGGAATTGAATTTAGCCTTAAGAATTTGAGGATGGAAGAATGTCTGGTTGACAGGAAGCATACACCATGTACCTGGGAAATCGAGAAGTAACAACCTGGCGTCTAACTCTTTGATGTGTTAAGAGGCGGTGGTGGAAAATGACACTTTCCTCCAGCTTTCCACTTACCTCTGCAAAAACAAATGGGGCATCAAACTGGAAGCAGACATGGCCATGCTTAACAGCTTGAACAGAGGCCGGCCCGCAGCGGTACATGCCTGTAGCACACAAGAAAAAGGAAGGCGGTGTGAATTTGTTGTTTCCAATTCTGCCCACCTACAGGACAGCACACAGCACTGAGGGGGCTCTACAGATACCAGTGCTCCTTAGCTTCACCAGTGACTTTGCCTAAATATTTCCATCGGCTGCAGAAGACAGGTGACCAATATCTTTAATCAAAGGAGTTCAGCTAGAAATGCCAACTCAATCCCAAATCTAAAGGCCAGGAAAAGAATATCGGACCAACACTATTCCTAATTCTAGTCTGCCGACTTCAAACCCATGCATTAGTCTGTTTGTCCCTTTTTCAAATTATCCTGGTTAGTTTTTGTCTACTTGGCAGGGGCTAGAGTCACTTGGGAGACGGAAACCTCAATTGAGAGAATGCCTCTATCAGGCTGACCTGTGGGCAAGCCTGTGGGGACATTTTCTTGATCTGTGATTGATGTTGGAGCGCTGAGTTCATTCACTGTAGGTGGTACCATCCCTGGCCGGGCAGTTCTGGGTTGTAGAAGAAATCAGACTGAGAAAGCCACCTTTAGCACCTGCCCTGACTTCCCTTTGGTCATGGTGTTTATCACAGCAACAGAAACCTAACTGGGACTGTCCCTGATACATCCTTAGCAGTTCTATTGATCTTTCTTTGACTGTTTTTTTGTTTGTGAGATTTGTCAGGTTTAGTTGTAAAATTTGGACACTAACCATTCCCACTAGCCAATGCTCCTCATTTAACTACTTGGCATGCTCATGTTTATGTTTCTAAGATCTATTACATTTTATCCATCTAGTCACATTTTCTATAAGATTAGCTGCTGTAGTTCTTTGAGTCTCTTCATACTTTAATGTCTAGAACAGCATTTAGTATGATGCTTTCTTCATAAAATCTAGCATCATAGCATGGTTTCATCATGACTGTGGACAGAATGCTTCCATATCTACTATGACTTCCATATCACCATCTCAGACCAACCTCAGAAAAAGATGAATACATCTGGGGTTTGCAGTCTTTTGGTGTTTATCATCATATTAAATAAAGTGTGATTTTATAAAAATCTGGGGTTGGTCACAGCTGCTCCTGATTAGCAGAGTTGGAAAGTTAGAAGACAAATACCTCTCCCCTTAAGTTTTGAAGGAGACCGGTGAACATAAAACATCAGGCTTTGGAAGAACAACAATTTAATAGGTGGTTTATAATTATTTTTCAATGTCTTTATTTTCTCTCTAGTCTTTTACCACCTCATCATTGTGGATCAGAGAGGACTGAAGCATATTTTATAGCCTAGTAAAAATGCTTACCCAGATATTTTTTGCCCTTGTCTTCAAAACTGCTTATCAAAGCAAGATTAGATGAATTATATAAGTTATATTCTTTTCCAAAAGTTGTAAAACAATCAGGGTAAAGCTGACTATTGAAATGAAGTGAAACTTGATTGACAGGCAGTTAATCCTGTATGCGTGCCCAGCAAGCACATTTCTAGAGTTGGTTCCTAATGAGCATGCTACCCACACACTGAGGTGAGCAGTGAAGCGAATAGGGAAGAGGCCGGCTTACCATCACTGTTTTCCTGGGGTGTACTGTCCACTGCTTGCCAGCCTCCAAATCCAACAGGAAGGTCAGGCCTTGTCATCCAAGCCTCATTCCAGCAGTGATAGTTCCTAAGAAGACAACCCCGAAGAGGTTACACTTCCAGTAACGCCTCAATCTCAAAGCAACTAAAGAATGACCTTTATTCTGTGAGATCATCACAGAGATAGATCAAGCTACATCTGTGGGCTTTGGAGATTGCTTGGGTCTTCCGATTTGAGTTTGTGGTTTATCCATTCTCATTGGTATCCTTTGGGGTCCCTGACATGATTGGCTGTTGCTTTTCTCTGCTAAAATCAGCTTCAAGGTCATCCAGAGATACTGCAATCATTTTTATCTAAACCACCCTCTGAGACAAGCTTACGATGTTGATGTTCAAAGGTAGGGAAGAAATGTTAGATGAAGTGAAAATATTTATCTCCAGCTTTCTTTTGCATGGCCTCAAATCATACAAAGCTTATTCTGTAGCAATTTAGCAACACTTATTTGTGTCTATGGTCTTAGACCGTCGACATAGAAATGATACCATTATCTGGTGATTATAATTCTCTAAATCTGCGGCAATTTGCATTTGATGTTCAATGAAAAGAAAAGGTCACCAGGGTAAGTGTCTCTTTACCCTTCACCAAAAGCAGGTACCCCATGAGGTAAGGCCTCTAAAAACTCCCCAGAACCTTACATATGACCCCTGAAACAAGAGTGCAGAGTGAAATGTCATCATGAATTGTATTATTACGTCCTTGGAAAGACCTGAGATTATATGACAGTAGAGAATCAAACGAGAACACATTAACCTGTGAGCACTATAGAAAATGTTCTTATAATACTAAGGGTTTAATGGCAGCTATTGCAGCCTCTGCTTATATAGCACTGATGGTTTCAGACACAGCTGTCATCTATCCTCCTGAAATCCCCCTCAATGCTCATATTTCTCTCTCTCTCTCTCTCTCTAGCCAATTCTGATTGGGTCGATGAAGAGATGCTACCTAACCTAATCAATGCACAGAGCACCTCTCTGAGTGCTGAAGAGTCAAAGACGATCAGGATATGAATTGTAGAATCTCTCATAAAGAACCTTGCAATCTACAAGAAATAACAGCCTATATATTACTTGTCACTTGTTAAAACATGTTGTATATTTATGGCAAGGTTTAATTAAGAGAATATATAGGTGTATTTAGAACAGAAATTGACACACTTAAGTACTCAAACAAAGGAACTCGGGTTTTTAAACATAATTATTGAAAATATATGTGCTGAAGTAGAAATTCACTGGGGGTGCCATAGGATCACTGAGTGATAGACAGCTGGTCTCAGGGTCTTGAGGAAAAGGCAGACGTAGAAAGGAGTGACCACAGTATGTCTGGGACACTATAAATCCACCAGAATTGGGGGAAACTAACAATCACCCCTAACATTCCTACATCCTAAAAATTGTTATGCCTCTTAACACACCTGATAGTCCCTGAACCCTGTGAATTCTATCATAATTACCCCCAGCCCCTGTTTACAAGGGGAATCTGAAGGGAATCTAGCCTTTGATCACACAGGCCATCAGTAGTAGAGCTTTCTAGCCAGGGCTCTTAAATACCAAGATGTTGTATGGGTAAGAAAAAAATTGTGAGAGATTTTGAGTCAAATTAATACCTGTGCTTTGTTCTTATTAGAAGCTATTGAAAAAATTTGAGGAGTAGAGTAAAATTTGCAAATTGGTGTTTGTGGAAGAGGAGTAGTGGGGCTGATCTTCAGGTTTGCTGGGGGTCCCCACCCACACAAGAAATCTAAAGTAAGCTACAATGTTCCAACCAAGTATCTCCCACAAAGAGAGTCCTCATCATGGGAGGAGGTAGAAAACCCATCTGAGGGTAGAACCCCAGTGCCTTGGTGAACTCTCTATGTAACTGATGATTGCCCTGAAAGGCTGCTGGAGTGCTGGGACTACAAGCAGTGTCATTACACACACATGAGGATTGAAGCCAGGGCTTCATGCACGCTAGGTAGTAGTCTATCAACCGAGCTACATCCCAAGCCCCAAGGAAGATTTATGTTCTGACAGAGTGAAGAAGCACAAGAACAGAGTTTAATTATATTGACAGTGGTAGAGATTGTGGGCAACCAGCTCAATCTGGACCCCCAGGTGCCTGCTTGAATATGGGAAATCCAGGAGTTAGCCTCCCAGAGGCATTTTTGCTAATATATGTGACACTCTGGATTGGATGAAGAGATGGCTGGACTGTTCATGGGTAGTAGAGTGAGGCAAAATCCCATTGGTTAAGGAGGAGCAGAGGGCAGTATTGTATTCCAGAAGCAAGATCTAAGTTGTGAAGGAGAGAAGTAAATAGACACTATTATATAACACAACACAAGGAAGACTGCTTTGAGTATTTAACGTTAGGGTGACTGATATACTCTCACTTCTTACCCATTGGCTCTTGTAGTACAGGAAGGTTCAGTGGGTAGGAAGTGGGAATAAGGGGCTCACACAACAAGTCAAGGGCCAGAAGCCAGGAGTAGTCTGTGGGACAAGTGTGGGAAGCGATACCAGGTGTCCAGGGAGGTGAGAATGTGATAAGGGCCACATTGTGTGATCCTTGAGCAGGAGTAGGAGGTAGGATCCCACCAGAGAACAATGTCTGTCTCAGCAAGGTCACTGTGTATATGGCACCTTGCCTGTCCAGCTCCAGAAGAGAGGCAGAGAGACCAGAGAAGGCAGAAAAAAAGACATTTCCAGGGCAGAGTGGGCAGTACTCAGCTTCCTCTATGGCTCTCTCTATCCCCACTAGATGAACAGGATCCAAATTATCCTTATTTAAATGCAAATCTCCTTGGCAAGGTTAGTCTGGAACAAGAAAAACACTCTCTGCATTTCAGATCTCAGGCAAAGACATGTCTTTGAAGATAATATTTCTTTTCAAATGGCCAGGAGGTGGGGAAAGTTGCCTCTCAGTCTGTCATCTAATTGCTTACCCATGAGGTCTGGCTTCCAGATTCACTTACTGCTAAGATGCTGTCTGTGTATGGGAAGAGAAAGTCTCCTCACAGGATGAGGTGCTCGCAAGCAGTTAGGGAGATTGTTTAGACTTTGGCAGTGGGTGGCAGGCCAGTGACTTAGCAGGCAGGTGGCCATGAGCAGCTGGAGAGGTAGCCCTTACACAACCCTGGGGACTCTGTTCACAGTATAGTTAGTTTTCTTTGCTTTGGATAGGTGGGGAAGCACCAAGAGATTCTCAGTCCAGCATACATACTGGTCTACTCTGTCCTAAATCCCCCAAGAAAGAGGCTGTATTTGCAGGTATTTGGGTTTTTTTATTTTTATTTTTTATTTTTATTTTTATGGCTGATAGAGGTACTTAGTAGAAAGGGGAAAAACTTATCTCTGGCTGTTATCAAATACTTTGCTTTTTTTTTTGTTTTGGAGGCAATTCACATACATTTCTGAGGATTGAAATTTCTAAATGATATCCTTTCCTTTAGCCTGATAAATTCCCACTAACATTTTTTTTTCAAATTTTAAATCATCAAATAATGATAACAGAGAAATACTACACATTGAATATACATTTATGGAATTCAATGTAATTTCAAATATATTTTAAAATTTTCAAAATTTATTTTATTTTCTATGTGTGTGTTTTGTCTGCATGTATGTCTGTGTACCACACGTGTGCCCGGTGCCTGTGAAGGCAACAGGTGGGCTTCATATTCCCTGTAGCTAGAGTTACAGACGCTATTTTTAGCCAATATGTGGGTTCTGGGAATCAAACCCAGGTCTATTGGAAGAGCAGCCAGTGCTCTTAACTGTTGACATGTCTCCATTCCTGTAAAATTTTACATGTATGTGTATGAATGGGTTTGTACATGTGAGTGCAATGCCTGAAACACTCAGAATTGGGTGTTGGAGCCTCTAGAGGCAGGATTGCAGGTGCTTGTGAGCTGCCAGACTTGGGTGCTCGAACTTCACTCAGGTCTTATGCACCACAGCACCGTCTCTTGACTGCTGTACCATTTTGCAGTTCTAAGTGTGATTTTTTGAAATGTATATTCCTGTCTTAGTTGCCAACATTTGAAATACACTCCCACAGCAATTGTGTGGCATACAATGCATCATTACTAACTAGAGTCTCTGTGCTACACAATGGATCTGAAGCACTTGTTCGGCCTGAATTTATTTACTCCAGTTGTGAACTCCCCAGTATAGGACATATATACAGGTTCCCAACATGCTACTCTTCATCTAAAGTCTTTTCCATCCAGATGTCTCCCTAAGTCTTTCTGTTCTCATCTTGCAATTTTGTCGGGGATTTGCAGAGACTGTGAATCCCCTGTTTTAAAATTAGCATAAAAAGCAATAGGCTTTATTGTGGTGTTCTCAGACATTCAGTTGGCCCATCTTCCCCCACTCTTCCATACTCAGCCCCAACACTCTCTCTCTGTTTTCCTCCTCCCCTAAGAGCTCCACTCTGCTTCTGTGTGGTTTGCACACTGTCGCCCCTTCCTCCTTACCTAACCATCCCTTAGTCCTCATTCCCCTTTCACAGACTCTTTCTCAGTTTATGACCATTTCTCTCTCTGTCTCTCTCTCTCTGTCTCTCTCTCTCTCTCTCTCTGTATTTGTATGTAGTATATATTTAGTGGAAATATATACTAAAATATATATTTCTTAAATGCTAGGATCTTAACATAACAGAAATGTGGTGTTTACCTTTCTGAATTGGAGTTACTTTGCTTAATATAATAATTTCTAGGTTTATCCATTTTTTTCCTGTAAATGTCATGACTGCATTTTTTTAGTGGCTGAAGAAAATCTTATTTTGTATATGTACCACACTGTTTTTATCCATTCATCTATGGACGGGCATCAGGGCTGGGCCCATGTCCTGGTTGTTGTGAACAATGCAGTAACACACAAGAATCTACTTCCGAGGCTCTGTTTGTTTTGCCCTTTCCCACATCCTCTCCACTGGAACTAGGTCCACCACAAGGAGGTGCTGGGCGCAGATGGCCCTCTTACTCATGAGGCATATGTTCTAAGTGATGCTGAAACTGCAGATAATATCAAATCTGACATATA